AATGCCGGCTGCTGTCTTGCATTTCACACATGCTGGAGTTCACATACCGTTCCATATGCAGGTCTTTTTTATTTCCAACCAGCATAATAGGTATTCTGTGAAAGAAAGTTCAGAACTTCAGAACAGTTACAGTATACTGAAAAAAGCACTAGTAACATGCCTGCAATGAAATGAGATGAAAGTGTCACTACTTACTGGACTTTTCCCACCATATCCAATAACTTGCCATGGATAACTTTTATCACTTCAAAACTGCAAAATAAAGGGATGAAGTCACACATGCACTCCAATGTTTATCCTTAATACCCAATACACAAGCAATTAAATGCATATGTAGGCTGCTGTGTTTAAAACTTATTCTATGTATAGAGGCAGAACTTACAAAGATGCTGAAAGCCTTACTGATTTGGGTACAACAGACAAAACGGTCCAGAAGCAGTTAAGATTAGCCTATGACTACCATTACAGCCTCCCCGTTAACAGTATTTGCAGAAATAAATAACATTACCCAGGACCAATGCATCTAACCCAGAATCACTAAAAGACCCTCCCCACCTCTGATCTGTTTTTTATCTGCAGTAAGAAATTTAACTGCTAAAGTCCAACAATCCTGGATGAGCACGTTAAATTAAAGCAGTTTCAAAGAAAAAGTATTTTAACATGCTCCATCTTGAAAGAATACATTATTTTTTTCAAGAACATTTAGTTCATACAGAATTCTTTAGTTCTATTTATGTGAAAGCCAAAGGAAGCCTAAATTCTACTTTTCTATGGAAAGTGAGTCAACTGATCTGCAAGATGGTATCGCAACAGTAGTTATTCAAATAGTTGTCTGTTCACCTACCATGCACGTGAAGTTTGGATGACAGGAGATAAGAAGCAGTACTGTGAAATACCAAGAAGCCAAAAACCTCACTTACAAAATCCACTGCATTTGACATTTAGTACTTTTGAGAACAAGCTATAAATGGGGCTGAAGAACAGATGTTGTGCTCCTCTAGTTACATTATGGGGAAAATACTGGGACATGAAGTGCACAATTCAGATTTAAAAGAGGCACAGGCTCAAAGATGAGACACACAAATAGACAACAAAAAAGTGGAAGAAACTTTTTCAGCTTCCAAGGTTGTTAGCTACATTGCAGTGTCTTGACTTGCACTGCATTTCAATTAGAACTGAAACTCTCAAAAATAGAGCAGCACTCAAACTTACTTCCAACTCAGAGCTCCCAAAGAACTGGTGCCTAAACCCACTATTTAAGCTATTTGAATCATTAAAACTCATTTCTGGAACAATAAAGGCTATCACATTTAAGGATTTTCTGTCAAGTAGGTCAATTTGTCTGGACTTCAGCAATAACTTTTGAGACTGAGTAGAACACAATGCTTCTCCATGTTCAGCTAATAATTTTAGTATATTCTATGAAGAAAACAAGTTCTTTGCAAACAAAAGCGTAACTTAGTCTGGCACGACTTAGTACTAGCTTGGTTGTGATGAAGTTGAGAGGTTCTGCTACACACAGAACTAAGTGACCCTACAGACTCTAAGAATAAAAAAATGCTAAAGAAAAAATCCTGCTACAAACCACAGAACTGTTTCTCAGTCTGAAGCAACAGGAAAGATCCAGCATACTAGCCACAGCATAACTGCATCACCAACATAGTACAATTGCTGTTTCCTTTCCACTACTAAGTGTGTTGTTTCCAGCCTCGCCAGGAAAACACCATGCCATGGCACAGGACCCTGGCGAGTCTTCACCTGAGGTTCCAGCACACAATGCTGCAAAGTGTTCTTGATGAACAACTTGAGGTGTTCATTTCCCAATTCTGTGTACCTGTCTGCTTACTTAGGACAGTTCATGAGCTCTGCTTTCAGTAAAAATGCTAACAAATAAAACAACTGATCTCTGTTAATCGATCACAGTGGAAATCAGAAGAGAAGTGCTATTTAAACACAAATCTGACACAGAAACAAGTTGCTAAGAACTGCCAGGAATGTAATTGGCTTGACCAGATCAATTTAATGTTTTAGAAAGCTTTCCAAATTACTAATGCTAGAAGAAGCAGGGACACACTTTAAGACAGGTATTTACCAATCCAAAAAGAGCATCATCACATCAAGTCGTGAAACAGCAAGAGATCTGGAGACCATAAGAGGTCCTTTCCAGTTCTGTCAAGCAAATCAGGTTACAGCAAACAGCTCAATGTATGAAGTACAACAACAAAAAAATAGCTGTCCAAAAAAGCGTGTTACACAAAATCATGGAACCTAGCAAGATTAAAAAAATGCAATTTAATTAAGCTGAACTAGAGCAAAAGCCTTCCAAGTAACCTTGCTGCTGAGAGCCTGGGAACATGAAAAATGTAGGGCGTTAGCTTTTACTCAAGTCCCATTTAAACTTCCAAGAGAAGGTTAGCAAGGAAGATGAAAATTTTAAAAGGGCAGTTCTATTAAGTTTGCTGTCAAAGCTCCCAATGCTCCTGCATCAATAGTCAGATCAATACACACACTTTGACAGAAGTCAAGACAGAGGGTGATTGTAATTTGACTGCCTGGGCAAGTCACCAAAGCTACCACAGTATTATATAAGAGCCTTCTTATTGCCTGAACGCTTGTCTTAATACACAATATTTTTGTCCTCACAGTACCACTTATAATGAGCAGTTTTCTATTCACTTAATTAGATAATCCTCCACTCCTAAAGTGAGAATACTAACTCCTATTTCATACAAGTTACTTGGCACTCGTAAAAAGCTGATCAGTTTCCTTGCACGTAGAAGGGAAGCACTAATTCTCTTCTACTTGATGAGAGTTAAAGGTCTTAATCATCTTACTCGAAGAAAAAAAATTACGAAAATAGGATTTCTTTGGTCATAAGAAAGATGCTGTAAAATATTAGAAAATTGAGATCTATTCAAGAATGACCAGTACTAAAAGCAAGAGGACCAGAGGAAGGGACAAAGTAACAGAAGATGACAATGCCTTATGAAGGCTGAGATGCGTCTCGCAGAACAATGACTCCAGCTACAATGGACTTTGGCCTCATGTCAGAATGGACAGCTAACAGCAAGGACAAAATAGACACTCTGGGAAAATTTTCAAATAAGATTATCTACTGCAGCATGTCACAAGTGAGTCTACAGGCCAAAAGTCACATATTGCTATTTATATGAAAATTTCAAATGATTAACCAGAACAATCCAAGACAAGAAGTCAAAGAAATCTCAGTACTGTAATAAGATACAAGGCTGAGGGATTGACTTAGCAATTAATTGGGTACTTCACATAAATCTACAGTGCCCTTTAGGTTCACATTTAAGCCTGCCTTTGAATCTGATGCTAGAGCTATGAATCCTACGTATTCTTGAAGTCATTTCGTACTTTTACTTGCACCTCAAAACAACATAGTTCAGCACTGTCTCATTTCTCACATTGTACCTTGCATATTAGCCTGCAAAGTGTCTGTGACATTTGGATTTGAGGGCAAATTTCTGAAAACACCTTAATTTTATTT